TGCCATATATTTAAGTAGGAATCCTGTATATCATGATAGGACCAAGCACATAGATATAAAATATCATTTTGTAAGAAATATGGCAGAAAAAGTATGATTAAACTAATAAAAATACCTTCAGAATGCAATCCTTTAGATCTGGGAACAAAGGTATTACCTTTAAATGAATTCAAAACATGCTTGAAGATCCTTAATATCACTTGAGGAAGTGGTATTCAAATTCTTCGAGCACAAATTTGTAGTTTATGTTCTAACTGAAATTTTTTGTTTTTACAGGAACTTAGAGCAAAGGAAGTAATCATGTGTAGAAGTACAAGATCCACCATCAAGTGCCAAAAGAATTGTTCAGCAAGGTGGAGAACGTTAGACTAATTTCCTTTGGTTTGCCTCACAAACTTTTGGCCCATTAAGTATGGACCGGATCACAAAGAAATTGCACTTTTGTAAAACACGCTTTTAACGCCTCAAAGGATTGAGTATCAGCCGTAAACGTGGCTGATCCTCAACCCTTGGATCCCATCTTTTGGTTGACCATATATTTTTAACTTGGTTTTGGCTCTTCATTCGTGTAGAAGCTTCGTGACTCTCTCTCTCTCTCTCTGACTTTCCCCTTTCTCTGAGTGTAGTTAGGGTTTGATGAATTCTTTCTCTCTATAAATTCGATCTTCATCTTAGTGGTGATTCTTTCATACGTTATGTAAATGAGAGTTGAATGCTTTCATGGTAGAGGTTGATCTTTGTGATTTCCTATAGTAAAGAGGCTAGAGAGATATATCGAAGAAACATTCTGTTTCTTCGTACATTTGTAACATTTCTTGGTTCTTCTTAGTGGATCTTGAGCTTTATCTGTGTTACAGATGCTCAACGGGAGATTAGGCCTAAAGGCTAAACATCTGGGCCCCTTTTTGGGACGAAAAATTTTTGTGTTGATCTTTTATTATTTCTGCAATTATTTTAAGTGTAAAAACCACGAAATAATTTCGATCTGGACCTAACGTTATGAAATCAATACCAATTAGGCTTCTGCTTTCTATATAAAGAGAGGATTGCAAGAACTAATGAGTACACCATCGGCAGCTCACAGCTGGAATGGCCACAGAACCATTAGGAAGATTCAACAAAGATAAACGATGATCATAGTCTGTTGGTCACTTTGGGATGAAGGTGCTAAGGTTGGGCTACCGTCATTTTTGGTATCAAAATCAGGCTTTCAACTTCAATAGATGCTTTGAAGGGGCTCGACTTGATCTTGATACCATCAATGGTGGCGGCACTGCCCTTCGGGACCAATATCACTAACCTACAGTCATTATCATAAGCTCCAATTTCCTCCATTTCTTCAGTTTTTGCTAATCCTAACTATGGAACAAGGTACTCCTTTTACATTTTTTCTTTAATTTTCAACTCAGAATATTTATACGTTTTCAGGTTGGCGGGGCGACCGTCCAGTCACTAAGCTACCAAAAAAAATAAGGGTAAACCAATGTGGTCATGACATCTTAGGTGCTTGTGAAGGAATGGATGTGACCTGCAGTCATCAAACTATCAAACATGTTTGGTTTTTCTTAGCTATTTTTGACAGTTTTTAGAGCACTCGAGTTCTCACTTTCTTGTTTTTAAGATACTCAAATTGTAGTTTTGGGCACGAGCTACAAGCACTAGGTAGGTCTTTTTGGACAAAAACCTTAAAAATAAGTTTTAGTCATGTGCTTAGCACCCAACTCAGTTTTATAAAGCTATTTTAGTCAATTTATTTCTTTAGAGTAATTTAAAATCAAAAGGAAAAGATAAAAGAATAACCATTAAAATATAAATAGTCTTCTTCCACAAACAACCATTCCTTCTATTACCAGAGAGTTCGCCAGCAGCCTATACTTTGGTCGCCTTCACCCTCTCCCCAAGTCTTCTCTTGGTTCTCGCAAAACCAAGAAGGAGAAATCCTTCCAAGTTCGTGGGAGATGTTGGGATTGGGGGATAGAGGTGAAGGTTGTAGAGGTTTAGGTCAGTGTCAATCCACGAGTTTTTCTTCCTTTTCTTCTACCGCATTCGTTAAAAGGGTTGAAGAAATATTCTAAAATTTTAATATACGAATAAAATTTATATATAGTAAGAAAAATTCATAATATAAGAAAAGTCCCACTTAATATTCTTTATTTATATCAATGTTTCGTTTTGTTGGATAGTTGGCAGTTGGAGAAAAATTAATAAATTACTTACCTTAAATTCTAAACCCAAGTCGGCAAAGTCTAAGACGGTAAGACGACGGTCAATGGTGAAAAGATTTAGGGATTTTATTTTTGGGAATTATTTCAATTGGGAATAGGGGATTAAATGTGAAGTCGTGAATAAGAATAGGAAGAAGAAATTGGACAATGGGTATTATCTATTGATACAAATAAGTTGGCGTAAAATTATACAAATAAGTGGACTAAAGATTAAAACAAAAAACATTTGAGGTGGTTAGCCCATTGAAATTAATTGTTGAGGAAATTACAAAAACCAAGTGTTTAAAAAACACAATTCTAAAACTAGGAACAAAGTTTAATAATGCATAAATCAGGTTTCCATCAAAAATTAAAACCCCCTATTTATTAAAACCCTAATTCATTTCTCTCTCTCTCTCTCTCTCTCTCTCTCTCTCTCTCTCTCTCTCGCGAGCACTCAAACACACGACATAGTGACACACCCTCTCTCTCCTGTTGTAAGCTCACGATTGTACCAATCCGGCAATCAGAACTCCTCATCTTCAGTTGTTGCCATCCATCGCCTGTTGTCGTCGCCTAGCCCACAAATCGCCGACCAGGAGTGCGAATCAACGTCGTGTAACTGCAGAGCCATCCTTCTTCCTTCTGAATTATTCGTCACGTTGATAGCCTCCCGAGCATCGGAAGAAGAGAAGTTATAGCCAGAGATGCATCATGTTGATCGCCTCCGAGCACTGCTGCACAGTGGCGCTCACTAGTGCTCACAGTGAGTCTCGCATAGCTGACGCTACTGGCTTCTCTATGCAGCATGGATGTTGGTGGTGTTGGTGAGGTTTCGTGGGGGTGACGGTGTGGTGATGGTGCAGCAACGGTAATATGGTCATGGCACTCTATCGCCGCTGGAGATTTGAGCGCTACGATTGCTGCGAAGTCGTCACGGCGTTGGTCCGAGCGCCAATCTATGGTATGTGTGCTGATTTATGTGATCTGCATCGTGGTGCTAGATATAAATGCTATGAGATGGGTGGTGTGGGTACGGTGGTGATGTGTTGTGGGTGTGGTGTTGTGGTGGTGTTACCGGCATGATGGTGCTCATAATGGTGGAAGCAAGAGGTGGTTTTGGCCTACTATTGTTGTGTTGTTGTTGATGATGTTAGTGGTGGTTGTTGCGGTGATGGATTGGGGTGTCTGTGATCAACAATTAAGCGTCTGTGACAACTATTTGGCTAATTTGTAACAACAAAAAATTAGGTGTCTGTGACTACAAAATAATTTGTGACCAACAAACATTGATCTGTGACCCATAGATAAAATGTGACATGTAATTTGAATGATCCGTGACCTCGAAATAATTGATTTGTGACCACGAAATAATATGTGACTAATTAAATCGATGATATATGATCAGTAAATAAATCTGTGACCAATAATTATGAATCTGTGACTATTAATCATGTAACGGTGACTTTTTTATATTTAATAAATAAATATTTCCAATTAATTATATAGAAACCTGAATTTTTAATTTTTAATCTTTGTACCTGATTTGTGAATTAGTGTAAACAATACACCTAAATTATGAACTTTTCCCTTAATTGTTGCTGGACTAATGTAGGCTAATAAATTACAATTTAGACAAAATTTTATTATTATTGTTTTTTTAGTCATTTGGACTTGAGTAACAGTGGACAAGGGCAGCCCACCATTAAATCCGCCCATGGCTATGGGAGGAGCTGTCTTTGTAGATGGAGGAAGATGCTCTCTCTCTTTTTCTTTTTTTTAAAATTCATTTTTCTAACTCTTAATTTCTCTCCTTTTTTCCCTTTATAATATTCATGTGCCTTGAAGTCGTGTAGATGACATGATTGTTTAATAAATTTTATCTCACTGTTTCAGAATTATGATCCAATTGCATATATTTTACATCAACTTTTACAAGTTGCAGCCTTAGACAAAGAAATCATTTTAATCTTGGCGCAAAGTCTTTTGTTTGGCTTTCTTGACAAGTAACTTTGACACGTACGATCAAACCTGTCAATTATGTCAATAGCAAATGTCAATGTGTATTCAGACGTGTTGTTTAATGTCATCTTGATTGTCTCACCATTAAAATTTTATCTTCTCAAGTCTCACTACAAAGTCGAGGGAACAAAGAACCTGGGACAGCAGATTTGAATGCAGAAAAATCAATTAGTTATTCGCATTAAATTCCGGCTAACTATAGTATTGATTTACTTCATCATCTAGCAGTCACTGCGATCCAACCCCAATCGACTAATTCCAAGAAATCGAAGACACCAAAACATGAAGTAGAGAAACTTTTTAACAGTTCATAAAACTGAGCAAGTGGTTTGTATTATTTATGAAAATTTGATATTCTTTAAATGCAATAAAATATATTTAACTAAAGTTTCTCAACATCTTTTCTCATATTCTTGTAGGGTGAAATTATAATTATTTCGTTTTACATTCCTATTTGTGTGTTCCTAAGGGCATTTATAATAATTCTAAAGGGCAAAATTGCTTCATTGTTCGGTACTACCTTGATGTTGGATCTATCTTCAATGGCTGGGTCGAAAAAAGCTATTATCACGTTGGACTTCAAGACAACGAAACATGGCACCACGGCATGTAATGGCACAAGAAATCTCCGAGGATTCTCATCTCCAAGTATTTTGAGTAATTGCCCATATGTCGATAACAAATTCGAGACAGTGCACGACTGAGAAAATAAAATAAAAATAAAACAGTCTTAGAGCCACTCAACATAAGCTAGTTCCTCTGCAGTACCTAAAATTGTTGGAAATATGATCAGCAAACAATCTTCATTCATGCAATCATTCTTATTTTCCATCTTTACATTCTTTTTAGGTGTCAATAGAGAAAGGAGAGAATCACAAGGAACCCTTGATACCATTACTAGTGCTATGCAATGCTCGGTATACTAGTCGAGGCCCAAACCTCGACCATAGAACAGACATGACTAACACCGTCTGCTCCTCAAATCTCTCAGGAACAATAGTCCCTACAACAGGTTGAAAGCTGCATTCACTTTCATTTGTTTCGCCGTCGTACAGTAGGCGTAACATTATCTTAAGGTTCATCACAATCAGCATAACAGGCCAACTGGCTATTGGGTGTCACCACAATGGCGCTCTCAACAGGAAAATAACGTTCAGATTCTTGTTCCTCACAACTGGAAATTCTGCTACAGTCCGGCATGTGATACCCAGACGTGTTATTGGAGGGCTCTCGGCCCTTTTGTTCACGTTCAGCAAAGGCTGCAATTGCACAAGCAATACGTGCAGAAGAAGATGATGATGATCCAACCATTGGAGCCATCCATGATGAGACGCGATCTTCCACCGTGTATTCTTGAGATAGAGCTGCATCACTATCAGGCGAGTGATCATGCTGCTGCCTGCCGTTCACCTATTACGATCACATTGCATAAGGAAAAAGTCTAGTTCATTATGCCACCAAAAGGTCAAGAATACAAAATTAAAGGTTAAATTTGCAACATTGTGAAAAAACAGCTTGCTAAAATATTAGAGATAGCACATAAATATGCAATTGAGATGCTTTACTTGAGGATTAGCCATTTCAAATGTCAAAAAACTCGTTTAACTTCCAAAATGAGTATAGCTTGTGAAAGGCGGCATATTTTCTGAGACTGGACATGAAAGTTACCCTTGATTTGTGCAAATAATTACCTGAATAGACCGCCAAATGGCTTCCATAACCATTATGTCTTCAAGATCCAGGTCAACCACATCCTCACTGAATTTAAAGTCAGAGTGAGATCAAGAAAGGACGTGACATGCAAATGATCTAATAATAATCACAGAAAAGTATTGTTCATACACTAATCAACTCCACAATCTTTAATCCATATATTTTCGTAAATCCATGTGATGTAAAATTATGTTTAATTTATTAACAAAGGAATGTATTGAAAAGAATGGATTGCAACTGTTCTGCATGTGCAATTTATGATGATGTAAAAGCAGGTTTTGTGAACAGGTAGGAAGATATAGCATGTAAGGATTTCAGGGATTTTTTGTTTGTCTTCGAAAGAGAGATGAAAGGTGAAAAGTACTATCTAATTTCTAAAATTGAACTGATCTAACTTGTAGTTTAAAATTTCAACACCAACAAACGCACCCTTTCAGCCAAAGAAGCACTAATTTCATAAGCTAAATCTTAAAACTCAGCATAATTTCATTATTACAAATAACATTAAAAACTGATAAGATAAATAAGAAACATTTTTCTATAGTTCTTTTCTTAATCTAATTATGATCTATATAAATAGCACTCATCAACATGAATGAAATACATAATAACTGAAAACACGCCGAAATACTATGTTGATAACGCATATAGTTGCATACCTATTTTGCCTTGGATGTGAACGTTGCGTTACTGCCGAAGCAACATGTGACTCCTCGCAGGTAACAACTTCCTCGCTGTGTACAGCTGAAGCAAAGGATGGCTCTGCAGACAGAAACGAAGATAAATGAATACTTTAGTCAGAGCAAATGAACCTACTGCCACTGTCCATTTACACGGTATGAGAAAGACAATTATGAAGAACGATATAGGCATTTATCCCATCCATAAACTGAGATATCAGGCTCATATCGTATACCTGCTGTTGAACAATAGTCAACCTCAATTGGTCTTCTTCTACTGCTTGAAGAGCTAATTTCTCTTCGTATTAGCATTCTCTCTTCATTTTGAAGTTCTTGCTTTCTAATCCTTATTTTGGCTTCAATAACTCGTTGTTCTTCCTAAACTTAAGCAAAATTCAATAGTATAGAATGTTGTTGGATACATCCAAAAAGAAAAAGAAAAAGAAAAATAGAGAGAGAGATATATAATAACAAATCAGGATAACATTGATAACGTCAGTCTTACAATTTGCTCCAAGCTTTTCTCCTCCTTTGTCCTGACACCTCGATACTCCACAGCATAGTTTAAGGTTTTACAGAAAGGACATCTTTTAAGGTTAGGGTAGGCATTGGACAACTTAAAATGACAGTGCAAACAAAACATTGATGAATGCATTTTATGAGAATCACATGCATAAACATATAACTCCAATCAACAGAAATCGAGGATACTGTGTAGGCCGGGTAGAATTAGGGGTCCTCATCTGCAAAAAACACTCTAATACATGGAAAATCAAAATTATAAGAGTCAACTTCAAGAAATTTCTCCAAGTAGAACCCAAATTCAGGAAATAAAATGCAAATCATATATGTTATACCTGTACAAATGCCTTTCATGCAACATCTTGACCAATTAAGACTTGGATAGTACTGATAACATCCACAATAAAAGTATATATCAAACGAATGACAAATCATATTAAAAAGGAAAATATTTTGTACATGTAATACAATGTAACTTGTCATACATGAAGAACATAAACATGCCTTCTTAATTCCCAACACATATTGCTCTAACTCAGGAAAGTACAAAAACCAATAGAAGTATCAATTGCTGGTCAATCAGAAGGAGCAGCAGTATAATTCAATTATAAATTAACCCTCCAATGATTTAAAAAAATAATAATAAATAAATAAAAATAAAAACAGATTCTGAAAATTACTTCACAGTACAAAGTTCATGATGCAGAACGCATGTGATTCATCCTATTGGTTTGGCTTGGCTCATACGAAATAAGTAGCTTCCAAATAAATGTAAGAATTCCCAATGAACCCCCAATTCTATCTTTTTTGTTAGCCTATCCATAATTCCTAATAGAAAGAACCTCGTTAGGGAAGATTAGTAGCCTAGAAAAATTATTGAAAAGCTCTTCGATTAATCTTAAGCCAATACAACTTCCTTTTTTATAGTCGATTACTAAATTAGTCCAAATAGGTGAAAAGATAACACACAAATACAAGAAAATCATTTCCTATGAACTAAATTTAAGAAAATGCAATCACACTATAAAAAAGGGGGAAAAATGAAGACAAAGATAGAGAATTATACCAAGAAGCAAATGGGGCATTCGTCAAGGTCACCACCACATTCATCATCACCAGGGTAACAAGGTGCCAGCTTTGAGTCAAGAATAAGCTTCTTAAGTTTCTTTTTGTCCACTTCTTTGAGTTGGTACATTCCTTGAGGCTTCGTGTACTTATTATCCACGACTTGCCTCTTCATTCCCAATTTATTCCCCATATCAAAACCAACACTACCAATTTTCAAAAATATTTCTTTTCTCAAGGATAAAATCCAAGATTTCATTGCAAAGCAGAATTCCTTTCACTGTCCCAGAAAGATAATTACTGGAATTCTCAATGAAGAAGGGATTATAAACCTTCACATTTACTCAATAATATGTGAAGCCCAGAAAAGAAAAAACGAACCTTGAAATGAAATCCTGAAAAAACATAAAGTCTGAACAGTTAGATTTTCAATTATACGTATGCACAAGTATATCAGACAGAAAGTTTCATGCAGAAATAAAGAAGCTTTTACAATCAAGAAACCAATGGAAAGAAGCAAAGGGATGGAGTAACAGGGCCGGAAAGAATCGGCCTCCGCGTAAAGGTAGTGGACTAGTGGGTAGGCGCCAAAAGAGTCAGATTGGCCATTTTGAAGTGTGACTGATTACCCTCCAATTATGTTGTCTGTATTGAGATTCCCCAACATTATTATTGTCACTTGGGGACAAAATATTTGCATTTTTTATTTATTAATTTTTTTTTTTTTTTTTTAACTTTTTACCTCATCATTTGTGATTATTGGTGAAGACATGAAATCATGAATTAGAGGTCGGTTATTGTACTTCATTTAAGAATAATGTTATCTAACACTTTTAGGTGGTCATACTTGATAGGTACAATTATATGAATCATATGATATTGCAGTTAATTGAATATATCATTTAGTGTCGTGCAGTTGTTACCTAAATTGATTAGCTTAACATCAATAATGTTGAATAGCATTATTCTTGATTTAATATCAAGTGGGTTATTTTACTGTAGTTTGTCTTGATTTACGGTACATCATTCAATTTTGTCATATTATCTATCATAATGATGTGATCATTACCGTTTGGGTTATTTTATGTCTACAAGGTTAATGTGTAAAACTAGTTATAGCCAAAGAGATTTAAGTTCTTTTTATTCTGTAATATTATTCAATTCTACTTATTAAATATGCCACCAGAAACAAAATATGTAAAATCTAAATCTTTGCAGCGTGCTTTGACATTTTGTAGTTTTCAATTATAATCAAAATTTCCTCCATATTGGAATTCTAAATTTATCAATCTTTTACCAAGTTAAAACGGTTATGACTCGTTCATAATATTGATTTAGACAAGGTTAATGAAGAAAGAAGCATGAAATGTTTGTTATATCATCTTATCAGACCATATATAGTTGCTTTTCTTTCATCCTTTTTTATTTTTATCTATAAGTGAAAAAAATGTTTGTTGTAAACTCCGTTCAAAAGGTGACAACCTTGAACGACTTCAAGATTGAGCATAATTTCACAACGCAAAGAGCACATTCAAAAACATCAGATCACGATGATGGACAAACAAGCTTGATTAATGGCTCCACAAATTCAGTAACATGGTGGAGTGGGAATTGATAAAAGATACTTAACGTTTGCACAATATGTAATAATCCAAAAGTACGCGAAAAATGCTACACCTTGTTTAAAAGTGCATGAGAAACCATATTCAAGTATCAACGTATCCACTCTTTAAACTTTTCATTTAGGCAAAGTTGGCACTAATGAAAGAATAATGTTATTTGTACATAATAGAATTATATAATGGTTTACATATATATGAGATGTCAAAAATAGAGTGGGAAATTTTTATTTATTTATTTCCTTTTTTAATTTGATTGAAAAAATTCTGATCCAATCATATTTCACCACATTCTGTATATGTAAACCATTATATACTTGTAGCCATTAATATACATCTAAAACCCCCTAAATAAACAATGTATTACCAATCATTAATTCTTGGTGATAAGAACATCAAAGCAAGGAAGAGAGAGAAAAACAGATATTCATTCAACCTCAGATAAACACACATACATATCTTTATAAGAAATCTCTGATCTTACTAGTTTCGAACAAAAAGTCAAAATAATCATCACATAAGCTTAGAAAGAATAAGCAGATGACCATATCAATAGGGTTTACATGGAGAAAAAGGAAAGTAAATATTCAGGAGGCAATCAAAGAGAAGCTCAGACAAGTTATTATTAAAAATCAATGTCTAGCTGTGTTTTGCGCTTGGAGTCTGAATCGATCAATCTATGAGATTCTTCCCACAATTTTGTCTCAATTGCTAACTTTCGAAGCTCCATTAGACCACGTTCGACTGTAACATGCAAGCAAAAATATGGAATATACACGGTTTATTTGTAGTTATACTTGCAACATCTATAGTCTAATTACTCTAACATTATCTATAAAGTACTAACATGCTATTCAGCTTATTTAAATTCCCCGAGTGATTGAGTCTCTCTTTCTCTCGCTCACTTGCTCCCTCAATCACAAACACACACACGCCCCTCCAAAAGTGAACGATAAATGAAAGAAGAGAAGAAAAAGAAAGATTCCACAAAAATGAGAAATGAAAAAGAGAGAAGAAAATCCGATGAATAAAAGTTTTCATCAGAAATCTTTTGAAAGGAAGATAGCAAGCAGAAGCTGTAGGAATTCATCACAAGTTAATGCTTCTGAGATGAAAATGCAATGATTCTTTATAATGTTGCAAGAACACGCACGACAGCGGGGAGAGAAAGAGAGTACCATCGACCGCATCATGTGAAGTAAGTGCCCTACTTCCCTGGTTGATCCAGAACTGCACACGTTCCTCTGCTATGTCCAATTCCAAGCCATGGTTTTTTGCTCTTCTCCAAAAATATGTCAACCACGCCTAACAGAGCTCAACAAATTGGCATCACTTCAGATTTTCGAGGAAGGCAGTTAAATTGTAAGATAAAAATTCATGAGTTTGAAAGTTGACCAGATTTCGGCATTTTTTTTATTATCTGATAATACCTTACAGGCAGTTTCCTAAATTTTCTTAACCATTGGTCAAACATCTCTATTCAACTACCTTATAACAAATGTCAACTAGGTCAGGCATTTACTGGAAGCTGAATGAATCTCACTCTCATCATAAGAAGCCAAAGCAATCAAAGAGAACATTGAATAGAAACAAAGAAAATACTGTTAGAAGTAGGATACACAGTTCTCTAAACTTTCCCAAGATAATTTTGAAGACAGAGAACTGAAATTAGATCAAACAATAACATCTCCTATTTAAGAAAGCAATAGTTCCGGTTGCCAACATACCCGCTTGATGAAAACATCTTCAGACTCCTCTTTGCTCAACTCTGAAACAAGTATGCTTCTGTTTATAATTTGGTATCAAAACTATAGTATACATAGCAAGACACAATGAAAAACCACTCCTTCATAAAAGATAAGTAAAAGTTTAGGAGCTTGGCATTGATCTAAAAATTATAAACAACAATACAGCAAATATATTGGAGGCAGACCACTAAACTAGTTTATGGAAGCTGATGACAAAAAGTCAAGGTACTGATACTGCTGGGGGGTAGCCAAAGGCGTCAATTGTCAATGAGACCAAAAGAGATAGCCAACAGAAATCACGAAGATTAATGAAGATCACAAAGATTGACAAAGATTATGACTTAACATAATTATTACATCTACCATATTTAGATTGATATTATTCCTATAAAATGTAGGAAATCCCAAAGGGAAAATCATTCGGTCAAAAGTTTGTCATCAATGTTCGTGGATATTGATTTTGATAATTTAAAGCTGGTAATGGCAGACAGAAGGATTTGTGTTCAAGTAATCGACAAAATTACATGGTTAGGGCTCTTGAGAAAACCGGAAAAGGTCACAGAAGAAAGAAGATAGCAGTCTACTGAAAGACAGCAAACAGTTTCATTTAGAATGGTCTTATTGTATCCAGCAACTCATTCGGAAAAAACTGTCCGATACTAACAATCTGTCTCAATTTAAGAAAAAATTACCAAACGCTTCTGAAAAATCCTGTCCTTCAATTGGTATCTTCAATTCATCTGCAGCCATTGAAAGAAGGGCATCACTAAAGATCAAATTGATAGTTGAAATCACAAAGTTGACCCTCTCATTTAGTTAATTTTTATAAACTAATAATCTACTATAGTTAAAACAAGATTTATAAGAACTAATTTGTTAAACTTTACAGAACTAACATTTTATACTTCAGTTATTATACATTTGTGCAAGTGCATGAGCGTATGTCTACGTTTACGTTTTATTTTCACATTACTACTGCTTAAATTATTTAAACCATAAATTAAAAAATAACTGAATAACTTTTTGTAAATCCTACACACTGCGCTAGAAGATTAGATTAATACAAATAAAATTTAATACTTCTAAGATATGAATATTTCATTGTAACAAGCAATTATTTGAGGCTGATATTTCTTCATGTCATCAATATCTCATACAATTAATAATTCTTGCATCTCCGGCATTATAGATTATAAGAAGACCATTGTTACTTGAATGATAGGAGAAGGTTTCTTTATGATTCTAAATGATAGGCTTGATTATCTGTAGGTTAATGTTTCTTGTGTATTTTTTGTAGGAGCAAGTGGCCAAGTAATGATATTACAGGATAATTTATTATACTGCCTCTGCATGTGGCCCCGATTAAAAGCATTCACTACCTTAGTTATCGTTGCAGCACAGACAAGTCCATCTAGTTGTATCATATAAATTCTTATCAGAAATTGAAAACATAAATTGCAATCCCTAAGAAAACTGTACTGTTACTTGATTTCATTGCAATCTCACAAAATCGAGATGGGTAACCAAAACGATAATGATCCAGTGTCAACTAAAATAGCAGTTTTTATGTAATGTAGGTGAGAAGTGTTACTGTCTTCTTCCAGTAGGAAAAAAGCATTCAAAAAATGAGCATTTCTTTTTCATACCCTTAGATTTTACTGCACTTGGGCGTATTTGTTGTGCCATTGATATGGCTATTGCCTCCTCTACCTTGAAAAGGAAAAGGTGGACAGAAATAACACAAGTTTTTAGTTTCTGGTTCGGAACATTGCATATGAGAGAACAAGCAACTATAGACGGATAAAATTGAGTCACATTATTGTTTTCAAGAGAATGGCATCTTTCAGGGGACAAAATTAAGTGTTCTAGATGTAGTATGGATGAAGACAAAATTTAAGTGACAAATAGTGCTCTCCTGACAGATAATGCCACTGATATATGAAATTTTCAATTTTACAGTATGTAGTTATCTTCCTTTACTTAATCTAATGCTAATGAAGCAAAAAAGCGGATGACAAATATCTAAGCTTTAGTCCGACTTACTCCTTGAAGAATAATGGAAAATTTTATCTTTACATCATGAAAGAATTTTGTAGTGTAAGCATGAATTTGGAACAGAACCTTGAGAGATGTCGGTTCTCTAAGACCTTGCTCCACTAAAAGCATGCTCTCAAGCTGGCATCTCCTACATTGTCATTTATATCTCGTGGACCCTTCTCAGCATCATTGTTAACTACCAAACAGAGACAAACATTATCTGACTAATAAAAAAATAAAATCACAGGAAAAAGGTGAAACAGCAATCAGAAATATAGTTTTGGGTTCAGCTACAAGATTTATGCTTATATGCAGTTAAAATGGGCAAGCAAGGAAAAGGTCCAGAGAAGGATGTGTTCAGCAGAGGATGAGACTGTCTGAGCTTGGACTCTTTGACAGAAGCCTTGAGTT